TGACTTTCTGTTTAAATTTTTTTTCAAAGACATTTTAGATGTTATTATTTGATTTAATAAATAAATCTTATGAATAATGATATTTTTTTGTTGTAAACAAACGTAAATTAAAGTTTTTTTGATAAATATATAATTTTATAAATATTTAAATTTTGTGTAAACTAAATTCTTATAAATGAAAGATATTAATAAGAAAATGCAAATTAATATACAAGAAATAGAAGAAAAAATTGAAAACATTATATGCATAAACATATGAAAAGCAAAAAAAAAATCAAATGGGGTGCAAAGAAAAGGTCTGAACTTTAATCATGAGGGTCACACTTACTTATTTCAAACAAATTATCTATTAAATGCCAATTATATAAGCATATAAGCGGAAATAATTTGATAAAATTCACATGGGTCAATTGACCCCGTAATTGTGAACTAGCTCCGCGACTGGTAACACTGCACCGCAGCACTAACTTTCTTCTATTCCGAATGGTGTTTCAATTGGCTATATACCATAAAGAGAAAGAAAAATAAACGATGGCATAAAATATGTTATCATCTAACGGCTCATATTGTTCATTTTATCGACAAATAAATTTGGAATAAAATCTCTTATCTGCGATTTAGAGTCTTACCCAGTTACCCTCCTACCAATTCCTCTACGAGAAGTAGTTTCAACAAGAAGAGTTCATTGATGATCAATGATACTTTTGTTTTTTTATAAAATATTTTTTTGTATTTAACACGATTGATAGTTTAAGAAAATATTTTTAAAAAACTTTGAACTATATACACATTTTTATCAATAAATTTAACATAACACTTTACAAATCGACGACATACAAATAGATTTCTCGGTCGAGTGATATAAATTTAATTTACAAATATCCACAACCATTAATTCTAATTTCTCTTTTCTCATATGCGATGATGTATACTTTTTATAACTTTGAAAAAGCTCATCAAAACGTAAGGTGCGTGTTGCATCTCATATTATTTATCAACAGTGTGTAGTTAGACATCTTTTACAAAGTTACAATTATAATAAACCAGCCCATGTGATTACATAAAACATTTGTCGACAAAAATGTTTAAAATACCCATATTACAAACTTCTAGTTCTTGACCCCTTAAAAAAACGTTCTTAATGAACTTTGCAAGCTATTCTTTTCTTGCTACTTGTATATAAAACCGGCGTGTAAACAGAACTAAAAATGAGTTTATAACTAAAGTCATAAAATAACATTTTCAACTCCTCCCTTTTTTTTTTTTTTTGTCAATGAATTATCAAACTATTAATATATAAGACTTTTATATTATTGGCCAATAACAATTACGACCTTTTATCTTTTGGCCAATAACAATTTAGACTTTTGGAAAAAGACTCCAAGAGATATTTCTTCGTTAAGATATATATACATATACGCGTCACGCGTGTGTATGTAAATATTAAATTATTAACTCCACATATATAAATAGAGAAGCAAGGAGAGGAAGAAGAGAGTGTCCATATCATTTCATAATCATTCGTTAATCAAACCACAAAATCTAAACTT